GGGAGTTGAAGTCCACTCATCTTAAAGTGGCCAAGTTTGGACAACACTGGCATAAACAAAAGCTACCCAGTAGAAGTAAAAATTGTATCAATCACAGAATGCATTATGCATGGGAAATGGAAGAGAAAAAATAAAACCTAGCCAAACATTCCCTCAGATATTAGTTTGGTATATTGAGGGAAAACACTCTTATGTATTTTTTCCTTTTCCGTAGAAAGAATTCTTTAGAAAATGTCAGAGTTTAAAGTTAAGTCACCAGTCGAGATTTTCAAGACAATTAATCTGGCTCAAGATATATTTAAATGGATTGATATCTGAAATCCTAGGCTAGGTGCCTACCTATCCATGAATCCCCCACTCAGTAGAACATTATATACAGGTAGTCCTTGTTTAGTGACTGCCTCGTACAGAGATCATTTGCAGTTATGATGGTGATGACAAGGTAACTTTGCAATCAATTCTCATATTTATGACCTTTGCAGGTCTGTAAAGCAAAGGAAAGCTGAAGTAAGATTGTAAGCACAGTCAAGATTTCACTTAGCGACCACTTCACTTAACAAGCAAGTTGCTGGTCCCAATTGTGGTTGCTGTAGTTCAAAGTGGACTGGGATGGAACATTTCTCCCTGATATATTAGGTTTGTGTTCTTGTTTTACTTAAAGGAAAATACTGGCAGGGGGTGGGATATGGATATTTATGCAAGACCTTTCTGAAACAACACTTCTTCACATAACTTAAAATTAGGCAAACTATTATAATATATTCACTACTGCTTCATATAATTTATCACAACTTGGGATATTGCATTCTAACATTAACTAAACTACTAGTCTTGAAATCAAAATTAAAGCAGCCCCCAGTCATTTATTCACCTTTTAAAGAGAAAATGAAAAGAAATTATAAACCAGAAAATTGAAGGGTGAGATGATTCTGAAATCAAGTGGAGAGTGAAGCCAGAGACATAGTTTAAAATGAGAAATGCTTCCTGTATAATAGATTGTGGTGAAAAGTAGGTTTTACATCTGTAGAAATGCAATCTATGAATTAAATGGTGCACATGGAAATATTTATTTTTATCTGCCATGAAATTTCTTACAAGGGAGGGCAGAACTTCAGGAAGTCATCATCCTTCCACAGAGACACAACACAAGAAAATGGTCTTTGAATGGCAAGGTTTCTTGCTGCCACAACAGTAAAATTTTGTGTATATATCTGTGCTGGGGAACATGGAAATCTGGCCCCATTCTATTCAGTTTTCTGAGAGTTATTGTGCTGATGAACAGATAAATGGACAGAATCCCACCCTCTGTACATAGTTTTTCCAAAATCCACTGGGTTAGAAAGAATTAAAGAAGAAAGAAAATAAGACGGGAGCAATTTTCTGTTACTAAAATTCCTTGAATTGCACCGGGTTATTGCATTATTTGTTACTGAAATAAAAACAGGATTGGAGAGAGTCAAATAGAAGAAAGTAAGCTGATACAAGTAAGTCATGTGAGATTAATAAATGTTGTATGTGACTTCCTAAATTTCTGACCGGTGTTAGCTGCAGTATTCTATTCATTGAATATATTAGCTGAATATATATTAGACATAAAAAACTGGTGAAGACTCACTATGTAAGTTCTTATCTCCAAGCTACCAAGCCAGCATATATTAGAACATAAACTTTCTTCAGCATATTATTGTAGCTCTTGCTTTCCTGAATCTGACTCTGACCTGTGCATCTTCTTTGATGTCCAAATTGACCAAATGGAGGGGGAAAATTACAGCCCCACAATTTTCTTCCTGTCTCCTCCTACCCAAGAATCACAACTGTTTGGGAAAGGCAATTTTTTTTTTTAATCTTCATGTGGGAAGATTTTATCCTTGCAAAATGTGCCATGAAAGAACCATCTGAAATACTCAAGGCATTTCCGAAACAGAAAGGCCAAGCCTATGCTTGTTATTTCCCTCATCTCCTGCCTGGTGACAGTGAAAAAGGAGATGGTGCTCATGATTTCAAAACATTAAGAGCTGCCTTGGCTTGTTCAGGATATACTTGCAGAATGAACTATTATAATGACACTAATTATTTAATCAGCAACTTAAATTAGATATAATTAGCAATTTGTATTCACAGAAATGTGTTGACAAATATTTCAGTACATATTCTCTCTATTTTGATTTATTATAATTTTTAATAACTGGACATCTAATTCATCACATAGTTCAGTGAAGCAAATTAAGAATCCCAAGAATATAGTTAAAACATGCTCTAAACTTTGTCTTCACTTCTGCAGCTCTGCCCTCACATGCTATAAATCACGATAATCTCTCCCATTAGAGAGATGTGCACACCAGTGTACCATAAAGAATATTCCTATGCATGTATGGTCATAACTAGTAAGCGGGGACTCTATAAATGGAGCTACTTTGCCTTCTTGGGAAATTGTTTTAAATATTTATGGTTTCTCTTAACCCTTACAGATGTTGAGCCATGAGATCCACAAATAGCTGCTACTGGGAGAATACACTGTAGCTCTTGGGAATATTTTGATGTCTACAGAAGCCAGTAATAATAAATATGCCACTTGATAGTGGGTTAGTGTAAAAAAAGCAAATGAAAAAAAAATGTTCAACAACAGTGACACTGTGTTTGTTTTTTTGTTTGTTTTTTTGCTTGGTTTTTTTTTCAGGAAAACTTTAAAACAAACAAAGGGGAGGGACTGAGCAAATTGCTTTGTGAAAAAACAGAAATGCCATGTCTTATTGAACTGGCAGAATCTGATGTGAATCGCCACTGCATGTTGTTGCTTGCGGTTAACAAAAAAGGTTAGTGGATCTGATTTATTACAGCTTGTGTAATGGGAGCAATAGGTGATTTGTTAAGATTGATTAGATTTCACATGTCACATGAAACCATTATTTTACCTACAGCTGGCTGGACCAATCATACATAGATCACTTTTAGCCCAAATCCAGCAATTATGGATTAGCAAGATATGTAAACCCAGTGTTTTTGCTGTCTTCTTCATCCTTGGATTGAGGGGGGATACAGAAAGTATTTGAAAAACCAACTATTTTAGAATGTATTAGCTGTTCTCAGTAGGTATTACTCCCACTCAACAGCAGATTAAGGTCAGGGAATGGTTCAGTTTGGTTTGGTCTGGTTTGCTTTTGTTACTTCTCAGTTAGTTTACAGCCATAGGAGTTCCTTGTGGTCTCACCTCTAAGTGCTAATCAATCCACCCCAGCTTAGCTTTTTCAGGATCAGCTGTATGTTGTGACCAGCAGCAAGTAAAAATGTGCAACTGCCCTGCTTCCACCTTGTCATTACTATATTCCAGCCAATATATGGCACATATTACAATAAGCATTCAAGTATTAATTTGAAACTATGACTGGATTCACAGATTGCATGGGCCATATTGTTTGTTATTTGGTTTTGTTTTAGCATTTTGTGTAAACAGTCATTTGATTTGTAAACCATTGCTTATAACATTGCTTATTTATGTATTTATTATGCTTGTATTTTGTCCATTCCCATAGGCTTTAGGCCGCTAAACAGAGGTAAACAGATAAAATGCCCCGCAAATCCCTAAATATATATAATTATTTTTTAAAAGCACACACAAATATAGCGTACCTCACCTTTCAATCAAAAAGCACCCTCCTCACGTGCAAGACAAAACACGTCTTCAAGGTTTTCCTGAAGCCTAAGAGTGATGTGGCATTTCTACTGGGAGGGAGTTCCAAAGAATGCCTACCTCTGGGGCCCTATCGGGTAACAATCTTGGAGAGATAAGACCTGGAAGATTTGACCTTATTTGATCTGTTGGGCAGGCAGATGAATGGAGGAAAAGGTGGTCCTCAGATAAACAGGACCAGATCCATATAGTGTCTTAAATGTGACAACCATCACCTTAAATCACACCTAGAATCCAACTGGTAACCAATGCAACTTCCAGAGCAGCAGGGTCACCCAAGTGTATCAAAATACCTCCATTACCACTTCAGCTGCCTCCTTCTGCAGCAGCTGCAGTTTCCAGAGGTCATTCAAGGGCCATCCCATGTGAGGCATGTTACAATAATCTAAACAAGAGATCACTAGAACATTAGTGACTGTGAGCAAGACCTCCAGGTCCAGGAAATGTTGCAATTGGTGCACATCATGTAATTGTGCAAAAGCCCTCGTAGGCCCAGCTGCCATCTGCTCCTCAAGTTGCCAACCACCTTTGAGCAGAGGAATACAACCTGTTTAGAGTTAAAAATGGAATTTCCCTGAAATTAGATAGATCCATAGATCCAAAACTACTCTATACTGGAGGGATTCAGTCAAAGTCTGTTCCTCCCCATCCAGACCCAGACAACCACCAGGGAGTCAGTTAGCACTTCTACTGCATCATCTGTTCAGCCCATGGAAATGATGTAAAGGTGGGTATTTGTAGCATATCATGATAGTATTTTTACTAATTCTAATCAATTGGGGCTTATTCAACACACCACAGTTATATCAGCCATGGCATAGAGCAGTCTTTGAATCAAATCTATACAAGTGATGGCCATAGATGTTGTTGAAGCTGCTTTGCTTGACAGATAATTTCAATACAAATTCTCTGAAAGTAAATTTTAGTCTTTCTCTGCTTTGGAAAATACAGGTGCAGAAGCATTGGATGGCTTTCTGGAACCCAAGCAACACAGTTTAACTGCGGTAATATATTAATGTTCTTATATATAGGAGTTGGGTGAGGCAGAGTAAAAAATTAAAAACCTAAAACATTATAAAATCTGAATGGAACACTTTGCATGCCAGGATCCTCTATCACTAAAATTATATAAATGAGTAGAGGTATTTTTCCCCAAAGAATGTGGAACAAAATTTCAGCATTTTAATAATAATCAAGTTACCATAACAAGCAACTAACTGTGGGAACTCCCCAAACAATTTCCAATTCGCTACATTTACTATTTTTAAAAAACAGACCAAAATTTAACATTTTTTAAGCAATAAGCAATATACATTTCCTGGATTTGAGGTGTTATTAACCTAAAGCCTCAACTGACAGTTCCACTGGGCAGAAAAGGCTTCTGTGCATCTACCTTGCATGTGAAGAAACCACTTTTAGCTACCAGAATTGCCAGAGAACGTTTCAGAAGAGAGCCAGAATGAAGCTGCTTTCATGGATGGCTGGTGTGGGTCTTCCAGGCTGTGTGGCCATGGTCTTTGAAGTTTTGTTTAGGAAACAAAAC